GGTGTAGTTCCCTAGGTGTGGATAGGTATGGTTTAACTTTCATAGGTGTAGATATGTACGGTGTAGTTCCACGGGTACAGGTCATGCCACTCTCAGCCCCGAGTGCCCGTGCTCTCACCCTGGGCCGGGCGCAGCCACCCAGCCTCTCCAGCTGTGGCCCCTCTCCTGCAGAGGGGGATGATGCCATGTGGATAAGGTGAGACGTTAAGCACGGCATCTACACTGAGAGCTCCCAGGCAAGGTGTGAACGGGTCCCCCCTTAGCGCTGAGCCCAGCTCTGTGGGCCCAGCAGTGCACGGCCCGTTGCCACTGCCCTGCAGCCTGCATTCGGGAAGGTCCTACCTGCCTCTTCTGGCTTCCAGCTCCCATGGGAAGAGGTGCTCTGAAGGAGAATTGGGAAGGCACAGGGCTGTGCACGAGGCCAGTAGGGGACGGAGAGGTGACACGGCAGCCGGACATGAGCCCCAGGAGGGAGGGGCCACGGGAAGGTCTGAGAACATCCCAGGAAGCGAGGAGGAGCCCCCAGCGGGCTTGACTCCATACTCCACGTAGGAGACTCTCCCGCTGTAGAGCCAGAAGCTTTCTGCTCGTGTTTCACTTGGATCTGAGAGGCCGCAGGGCAGACTTCGGATTCCCTTAAAGGACCCGAGGACGCTTCACATTAAACGAGCAACTGCTGTTTGCAGACAGGCGTGTACATCCCCTTTCTCTGCAGGCCCGTGATGCACCGAAACGTCCGCTACAACTGCAGGGTGATATTTCTCAACAGGTAGGTGGCCGCCGGGATGGCAGCGACCCGCGCGCTCTCCCAGGCTCTGGGGCTGCGGGCACTCGTGCTGGTGCCCCGTGACATGGTCCCTGACAGGCTTCCAGAAATACCCAGCCCTTCATGAGGGCCGGGGCACCAAGCAGACGATGCATGGGACACTGCTTCTCCAGGTCCCTGCCACCACTAACATGGGCATCTTGCGGTTTAGAAAGAGAGAGAGCTCAGGGTGCGGTTTGTGGACACACGGTGGGGCTGCTGGGAGGTCAGTCGAGGGGACATGGGCTTGTAATGTGCCCCTCGCAGACCTGCGGGGTACATACCTTCAAGGTCTCAGCTACCCGATCATCATCCACTGTCAGGCCCCGCGGGCTCCCCTCACTACTGGGCATGTCCATCTCAGGGATGCTTTTGCTCCCCGGCCTGTAGGAAGGTCCTGCTCATCAGACCCAAGATGGCCTTGGCCAACGAAGGAAACTACCACGAGCTGCGCTGGTTCACGCCGTGGTCCAGGAGCCGGTGAGTCCTGGTCCTCGACGCGCGGTGTGTCACTGCTCCTCGTGTTTATTACGCATCTTCGCCGCCCACAGCTTTGGTCCAGGTTGTGAGGGAGACGCACAGAACTCGGGTTCACATTTGTAAGGAATGTGCGTGTATTGCCATCTCGTGAGTTCCTGCCCTGGATGGTCGGGCTTANGTTCGGCGGCGTCCTACCCAGGCGATTGTGGCCAGGATGGGCCGGAAGGTGACTGTAGCCACCTGCGCGCTCAACCAGTGGGCCCTGGACTTTGAGGGCAATTTGCAAAGGATTTTGAAGGGGGGGTCAGGGGAGGAGCAAAGGTCCCCTTCTGGCCGGCCTGGCTTGCTCTTGGCGCACGCACGGCTTTGCCCTGGAGAAACTCGCAGTCGTGGGCATGGGGAACAGATAAGATAACAGGTAATGACCACGCCCGTGTAAGTGCCCGGGTCCTCCACTTGAGTGGTGGCAAGGGGAGGTTTACGTGCCTGGGGACACGTGGTGTGCAGCACGGTAAGAGAAGCCTGGCTGCAGAGCTGGAGGTGGGAAGGTTGGGGGTCCCAGCCCTCGAATAGCCCTGGGGTCCCGTGTGTCATATCTAGAGCTGAGCTGCCCATCCTCGGAGGTGTTCATGGGGAGAAGGTGGCCGACCACTGGCGAGGATGCTGTGAAGTGTTCTACAGTGGGTGGTCTCTGGCGCCCCAGGACCCTCCTGGGGGGTGGACTTTGGGAGAAGTGGCCCAATGAGTGAAGTGGAATAAGGTGTCCCCGTGAGCTTAGGGACCAGCGTGTGCTGGGAGTCGTCACATAGAGTCATCTCTGGCGCTGGCTCACCTTTGAGAGTGAAAGTTTGCAGCTCCTCCCTACACCTAATGTGACGCTCCCCAGCCAGCCCTGCGGTGTAGGGCTGTCTTGTACTCAGAAGCTTACTACAAGAAGCTTGCCAGGAGCAGTAAAAACAGAACGATTCAAGTGAGGACATCTTATCAGCCAGGTGCCTTGGACCTTCATCCTTTTTATTTTTTTCAACATCAACCCGCTTTCACCTCATCAGTGCTCTGAGTAGAGCTAGTTGGGGGGAAGAGGACATTGTCCGGTGGCCCGAGCTGTCGCCTCTCAGCCCCAGACTGCACTTGGGAGCTGCTGCCCAAACCCAGGGGTTCATGGTGCTTGCCGCTCGTCTGGTGCCTCCAAGTCCTGCTTCCTGCACAGTCTGCACCTGCTTGTTAATCAGCTACCAGGGTGTGACCTCCTCCTCCTCCTCCGTGGTGCTCAGGGCGGGCCCTGCCCGTTTGTTATTCCCTGCAGGTGTAATCGTGATCTGGGAGACCCACGCTTGGCTGCACGGGGCAAAGAGGTCCTGGAGCGCTGCTGTTTGTTGTTTGGTTTTTTTTTTTTTATCATACCTACCACTGCAGGGTGTTTTACCTGCATGAACAAGTCGTAGGTGCTGAAATTGCCTCCCTCTCTCTCTCTGTACATGTAGGCATTGAAATTGCCAAACAGAAGGGGGCGAGATACAGGCTTGGACCAGAACTGGAAATATGGTGAGAGCAGAACTCGCAAAGACCCCAGAGTGGGTAGGTGGAGGTGTGTGTCGGCTCCCTGCAGCCGGAAGGGCAAGGAAGGAGGGGTCCCCCCAGGGAGGAGACCACGAGAAGCCCGCAGCCCGCGAGGGGTCTGCCCAGCGCCCGGCACAGGAGCAGGCCCGGCAAGGCTGGGGCATCCTGGCGTCCTGTGTCAGGCCAGTAGAGGAGCTGAGTTTTCCAGGCCGGGCTGTTTCTGTTGAATCATCGCCCGTCCCAGGTCACCATTTTCATATTTGGCCATAAACAGCTTCCGGTGGGTGGTGTCAGCACCTGCCTGTAAGCGAGCGGAGTGGTCACCTCTGCGCTGTCTTCTTGCGGTAATCAGGAGTGCTGATCCCTTGATTTTCCTCTTGTCCCTTGTTCAAAAACAATCAATTCGTTGCCACACTAGGTCTCTTACAACCTATGGTTTTTTTCTGACTGGATGCCAGCTGTCTTCTTCCCTCATTTTCCATTTGTCCCTGGGCTCAGGCCCACTGGTGTCCTCGCAAGTCCCTGCCCAGGCCCCTGCCTGCATGCCTCTGTCTCTGGACTCAGTGTAAGCAGACCCTGCCTTCTCTCGGGCGTTTCTGTTTTAGTCCTCGAGGCAGCTTTCTCCGTCCTTTCCAGTTCATTTTCTTCCTTCGGTTGATTTCTCTCCTTAGATCCTGACTTCAGCAGGGGCTGTGTCTCCTGTAATATCCAGGAGCGTTTACATCCTCATTTAGTTTGTCTTTCAGGAGGTCCCTCCCCTGACTGCCAGGGCCTCGGGGCCCTGGGGCCCAAGGCCAGGGCCTTCTCGTGACTTCTCCTCCTGAGATCTGGCTTCATCTTTGTGTTTGGTCTGCCCCTTCCCCCTGGAGGGCTTGCAGTCAGCAGCCCAGTCCCACTCGCATGATTGCTATCCAGACATTTTGAGGTTAGGCCCTCACCCCTTTCTTCATCCTGTTCTTTTTTCTCACCCCTGCCCCCAAACCTGGACCAGTCATTTCAAAAGGGGGGCGTTTTAACTAAACGATCCCAGGATGGTGTATTTGTATCGAGCAGGGCTGAGGGCCCCGCTGAGCTGGGCTCCATATGGTTTTCAGCCTGCTGAGCAGGCGCTCATTTATCATTTCCAACAGTTTACAGAGAGGAAACTGAGGCAGGAGAGGAGCCAAGTCACCACCTCGAGGACAGCCTCTTCCTGTCCCTGCTGGTCAGTCCAGCTCCCACCCCAGAAGGGGTGCCTGGGAGAAAATGAGGGGCTGGCGCCCCTGGGGTGGGCTGCCTCATGGACCCCGGGGCCCTTTGAGCCAGTTTTGTAGACTTTCTACTCTTCCAGCTGTTGTCCAGCTGCAGGGATGAGAGGTCAGCTGATGGCTGGACACTGGGCACAGGCCATCTGGCATTGCATTGTTATTTGTCTGGGAGCTACCAGGGGGCGAGAACCCACAAGGCAGGAGTGTCTGCTGGCAAGGAAAGAGCACCGCAGGTCTCCCTCCCTCTCGGGGCGTCTCCTTGACCGCGTTTTCGTCTGAGAACCAGGGCTTTCTCTCTTCCCAGAGCTGGAAGCTGGCAGTAAAAGTGGCTAATGCCAGCTCGGGGGGTTTATGCTCGTGTGTGCAGTCTGCTCAGCATTGAGACATCACGTCCAGATTGCATAGTAGGAAGCAGAGCTTTCTGAAGATTTAAAGGTGTTTACAAAGTCTGTGCATTTCATTATTGGAACACCACACTCAGAAATTGCTCTCAGCCCAGCCTTCACATCCGCGGACGCTCTGAGGTTGCTGGAACGAAGTTCCACAAACTGGGTGGTTTGAAAATAGCAGAAATTGATTCTCTCACAGATCAGGAGGCCAGAGGTCCAAAATCAGGGTGCTGCAGGGCCGTGCCTCCTCCGAAGTCTCTCGGAAACCATCCTTCCTGCCCCTTCCGGCTTCCAGTTTCCAGTTCCTTGCCTTGTGGCTGCGTCACTCCAACCTCTGCCTTCCCTCCTCCGAGTCTCCTCCTCTGTCTTTTATGAGGACACATGTCACTGGATTTAAGACCCGCCCAGATAATCCAGAATCATCTCATCTCAGGATCCTTAATTTAATTACATCTATGAAGAGCCATTTCCCAAATAAGGTCAATTTCACCGGCTCTGCGGTTAGGACGCAGGCATAACTTTTGGGGGACACCGTTCAACCCGCTACCAGTATCTACAGCAAGCAGCTCAGGAGTAGCTGTGTGAATGGGATCTCGAGTGGTTGTGAGTGGGATCTCAAATGGTTACTAATACCCTCCCTCGCCTGAAGAGTGTTTTTCTGTGGGTCCAGCTTTGTTTCTTTTGCATTCCTTTCTTGTAGATCGATGTGATTTTGGCCACCTTAAAGGTTTAAAAAAATCCACGGGCAGACACTTTTTGACATGAGAGAGAATGTCTCTTAGCAACTTAACACCAGGAGAAAAGGGCAGGGGGGCCCAGTGCGCCTTAACTTCCAGTAAAATACAGCACAGTTTTAGCAGTGATTCTACCACTGGCTGTGCCCTAGCATCACCTGGGAAGCTTTCAAAGGCCCCAGGGCCTGGGTCTCACCCC